TATAAGTTTCGCGAGGTATTTAAATAAGAGATATATATAATATTAACGAGTTATTATAGATCTTATTTATTATTAATATAAATAGCTTATTTTTTTTTTTACAAGTTAGTTAATAATAAGCCGCTATATTAATCTTAGCGATATTAATAAACTTAGACTCTTTATTATTCTTATTCTTATTTAATAAAAAGATATTTAAATTAATCTTATTATCGTAAATAAGTAAAAAAAGGCTTTATTATTTTAGTATAATAGATAAGAAGATAAATAATATAAATAGTTAAAGCTTCGAAGTTAATAAAAAGAAGAGTTCGTTTATTATTAATATCTAATTATTATTATAGTTATATCGATTAAATAAAAAGAGTATCTTATCTTATAATATATTAAGAACTACCTCGTATTTATTTATCTAAGATTTCTCGATTATTATATTATATTTTAATAATATAATTAATATTAAGTATATTTCTTCTTAATAATCTTCTATTATTATCGTAAAAAATAAATAATATATAATTAATCGTTTTATAATCTAGTCGTTATAATCTCTTAGCGATTTAAATCGTAATAGTAAAAGTAATTTTAGATATAAGGCCTTATATATCGCTAAGATTAAAAACTTATTTATAACTATATAAGTATCGGTATATTTACTATTTATAAGAGAGTTTTAAAGTAAATACTTTCTTTTTTATAAAGATAGTATAATTTATATATAAAAAGGATAACGTATTAAGGCGTTATTAGAAATGTCTATTAGATATATTTTATAAGTATCTCTTATCGTAACTTTAAAAGAGACTATTCGTTTCTCGAATCTAAAAAAGAATTATCGCTACTCGTACTGGCCGAAAAGATATGATATATTTCATGGGATATTCCATACCAAGTAATATCATATCGTACCCGAGTATGGTATGGGTAGGGTCGGATACCATACCATTTTTCTGATATGGGTTCGAGATCTTGGCGGGATATCCCACGGTATGGTATATCTATGGGATTATACCATGGAATAATATATATATAAAATATTCTCACTGAGATTTCTATATTTATAGAATAATCCGACTAAGATATATAGAATATATTTATTCTTCTTTATTGAGAGAGAGGGAATATAAAGAGTAATTTAATATAGCTATTTATCTTTTTATTAATATTGATAATTAGAATAATAATTAGAACTATAAGCGTCTCTATTCTTCTTCTTAAAATTATAATATAAAAGAATATTCTAAATTTTAAATCTTTAAATATTATAAAAATAAAATTCTATAATTATCTCTATTTATATATTCGTCTTAACGCGTTAAATAAGCTTAATAAACGTTATATTTATCCTTCTCTCGAATTCTAATCTACTCTTCTATTTTACTCTATCTTAATTCTATTAAGTATCTTAAGTCTACCTCTATCTAATTAAACTTATTAATTATTTATAAATAAATTCGCTTCTCGAGTTATTTTAAACCTCTTCGTTAAGATTAAATCTATTATTATTAACTCTCTCTAATTATAAGTTTATTAATTATCTCTCTATATATTATAAAGTATTAGCGATATATCTTAATAAACTTATAAATATTAAACTTATCGAAGTACTTTTTGTAAGTTTATTATCTTCGTTAATATAATTATTATAATTATTAATTAAATTTTTATATAAAGTATTATTAGCTCTTTTAATTTAATTCGATATATTAAGATCTTCTTTAAGATTAAGTTTAATCTATTTAAGCTCGTTTTCTTAATATTTTATATAAAGAATTATTATTAAAGTATAGAATATCGTTAATAAATAATGCTTTTAAGTATTATAATACCTTTTAGCTATTAAGAAGCACCGCTTATATATAATAGCCCTCGTAAGAGAATAAAGAATATTATAAGCTATTCGAGCGACTATAATATATTTAGACTTTAATTTCTTCTATTACTCTAGAATTGAGAGGTTCGCTAAATTATTAAAAGAAGCTTTATAAAGATTAGAGATAAGATTATAATTAAAATAATAATTAGAAGACTTATTATTTTATTTATATTACTAAAACTAATTATATCTATTCTTATTATTTAAATTCTTAATCTCAAATTTTATCGCTTAATCGAGCGTATTTTTATTTAATTAATTTATTCGCTTAGCTCTTTGCAATTAACTACTTATATTAATATTTTAATAATTTTAAAATATCCTTCTAAGCGCTTTCTAGTAGATCTTCGCCTATAACTTCTTCTTAATATTAATCTTTTAATTTAATTTCTTTAACTTTATATTATTATAATTTAGATATAAAAGTATAGCTTATTTATATAGATAGTTTAAATCTAATTAAGTTCGACTATAATAGATAATTAATTTCTTATAAATCGTTTTAAAAGCTTTAAGAAGTTCTTTTTTTTAAGAAATCCTCTTTCTTCTTAATTTTCTAAGCTCTTTATCTATATAATTAAATAAATAATTATAAATATTAAAGACGTAGTAAATTATAGTCTTCTTTCCTTTATTTATTAATTTTATAAATTTATAAAAAGACCTAATAAGCTAAATTAAATATTAAATCTATTAGAAATTAATTAAAAATTATTTAGATATTTAGACTATAGTTTCTATCTATAATTATTCTTTATTATTTAATCTTAAGTAAATAGCTAATCTATTCTTTAAGAAGTATATAATATTAATATAAAGAAGTAAAGCGCGAATTAATATTTAATAAATTAAATTTTAGCGAATCTTAATATTCTAAAAGAGCTTAAGAGGGCGTCTTTAATAATATTACTTCTTTTTAGAAGATTAATATTTATCTAATATTAAAATATTCTTATCTTAAAGTCGTTTAGCTTATAGTATAAAAAAGATTTCTTTACGCTAGCCGCTAGCATTAATATATATAGCAATTTTTCAAATTTTAATATAATTAATAATATAATAACTAGAATAATAATAAGAAATATTATATCTTTATTAAAGTTATTAATAAACTAATTATACTTATTTAAACTTAATTTTTATCTTCTTTATTATCTTAGCTTTTCTAAAATTTCTTATTTATCGAAGTAACTCTAATATTATCTAAGAGTTCTTTTAAAGCTAATTAAATAATATACGCTATATAAAAAATATATTATAAATAATTCGAGGACTTAAATTCTCTAATATTAAGTAGATTCTCTATTACGAAAATAGAAAGATAAGTAATTAAATCTTCGAAGAGTATATTATTATTACTGGCGTTATTAGTTATAAATCTAAGTATATAAGATTAAATCTTATATTTTACAAGAATTAGATTAATAATACTTACAAGTTTCTAGCTAATATATTTACCTTCGATATACTCAAAATCTATAAAAATCTCATATTATTATTAATTAATATTAATAAAAAAGATTAGAATTATTATAAATAATTAGTAATTATAAGATAATTAATAATTTAAAGCTAGAGAGACTTTAATATTATCGATTAATAAATTTTTTAATAATTTCATCTCTAGCTCTATAGCTTTTCTTATTAATCGATTCTTTATAATAAATATTAATTTTAATTATATATTAAAGTCGAGATAGCGTAAAAATCGTAATATCTTAAGATTATTAGCGATTATAAATAAAATATTAGTATTTACGATTTAGAGATAAAATTATTTCGAAAAGTCTTCGCGTATAAGCTTTCGATTTTCTAGTATTATAAGAGAATCTTAATATTATCTTTTCTAGAGTAAATAGTAAATTAGATATTCTATTTATTATTCTATTTATTAATAATCTATATCATCTAATTTAGAAATATATCTAATTTTTATAATTATTAACTAGATTCGTTTATTATAAACTACTTAAATTAGATTTCTTAATATATCTTTTAGACTTAATATATATTATTATATCGCTTATTTTATAATCTATAGATAGATAAATTAGAATCTTATCGTAATAATAATAAATAATATATAGCTTCTTTAAATTAACGAGCGTATATTTATTAAATTATATCTATTTCTAGAATTTTCTAATTTCTAAGCCCTAATAAATAGATTAACGATCGCTATTAGATTTAAACTAATTCTATATAGCCTATACTATCTTTATCTATTATTATATCTATTATTTCTTATTATTAATATTAAAAAGAAAATAAGATTTATTACTATCTTTATATCGAAATATACTTATTAATATTTTATATTAAGTATCGTTAATTAAGAAAGTCGAATTTACGCTAAATAAAGGTTTAATTAATATTATAAAATTAAGACGTTTAAAGAGAAATTAAAAGAGATATATAAACGAATAAAATATTAGAAATAAAATGAGATTAATATTTAATATATAAATCCTATCTTCTCGCTATAATAGAAACTTATATCGCTTTAATAACTTATATCGCTTTAATAATATATCGCTATATTATTTTCGATATTTTAAATTAGAGATTAATTTTTTCTAATTAGCGTTATAATTAGCGATTATATATTTAAGAATATATAATAACGCTAATATAGAATTAATATTTAATTTAATTAATTTAAAACTCTAATTAGTCTAGCTATTAACGCTTCTCTACTTAATATAATATATACTCTATTCGCTTTAATACTAGTATTTATTTATTATTATATTATTTTAACAAGTAAAGGCCCATGAATTAAATTCATGGAGTTGGATTTTTCTAAGTCAAATCGAATTTTAGCCCTAGCCCTAAGTCAAATCGAACTCTGATCGCTTGCTGTGCGTTTTTAACCTACATATAGGCAAATATGTGCGAAGAGAGGCGCGCTAAGGCCTAATTAGGAAGGTGTATTAAGTGTGAAGGATTGATCCGTAATAATTGCCCATAAAAAACAGAGAAAGGCTACGTCCTTATGGCAAGAAGTATCGAAATATCGGAAAGAAATAGAGACAACGTGCCAATTAGTGGTGTGAATCCCACAATATCTCCTATCGTAGTGAAATCTTTCGAATAATGAAATAGCTGTAGACATCGGACGGTTTCAATTCGTCCAAATATGTATCGTCCGATGTTCCTTCTGTAGAGGCCCAATTGACTGTGATAGTAGATCCTCCTCTTGTGACGTTATTATAGTGATGTACCATATTAATGCAGTGGGGATGACAGGCCAAGTTGTAGTGGTGTTCTCCGCTTGCTGAGTGATGATTTGATGTGGAACCGTGGAGAGCATATGACGTGGGATCTTGGAGAGCTGAGCCGTGTTCTTGGTGCTGGGGGCCTTGTTGCCGCTTGGTTTCTCCGCAGTGTTCTCCGCATTTGCCTGTTGTAGTTCCTTCTCTTGCTCCTCAATGTAGTGGGGATAATAGGCTAAGTTGCAGTGGTGTTCTCCGCTTGCTGAGTGATGATTTGATATGGAACGGCCAAGTTGCAGTGGTGTTCTCCGCTTGCTGAGTGATGATTTGATGTGGAACCGTGGAGAGCATATGACGTGGGATCTTGGAGAGCTGAGCCGTGTTCTTGACGATGGTGGCCTTGTTGCCGCTTGGTTTCTCCGCAGTGTTCTCCGCATTTGCCTGTTGTAGTTCCTCCTCTTACTCCTCAATGCAGTGGGGATGACAGGCCAAGTTACAGTGGTGTTCTCCGCTTGCTGAGTGATGATTTGATGTGGAATCGTGGAGAGCATATGACGTGGGATCTTGGAGAGCTGAGCCGTGTTCTTGACGATGGTGGCCTTGTTGCCGCTTGGTTTCTCCGCAGTGTTCTCCGCATTTGCCTGTTGTAGTTCCTCCTCTTACTCCTCAATGCAGTGGGGATGACAGGCTAAGTTATAGTGGTGTTCTCCGCTTGCTGAGTGATGATTTGATGTGGAACGGCCAAGTTGCAGTGGTGTTCTCCGCTTGCTGAGTGATGATTTGATATAGAACCGTGGAGAGCATATGACGTCCGGACGCGTTTGGTGTGACTACAATATTTGAATGTCAGTTTAATTCATCTATCGCTGGCTTGGGAGGAGTATGTAGGGGAGGACGTATCCGTTCGGGCTCTTTTTGAGGGCCTTCCAACGCGTTTATGAGCAGTAGTAGGTAGCTGTTAGGCTCACTTGCGGCCTTTGATTGCTAGCAGTAGCGGATTCGTCGAGGGGGTGGCCTGGGGGCGTCAGTAAGGGGCTCTAATTGGGCGAGGGGTACCGAAGACGATTGTGTTTATATTGGTAGAATTGGTAGAATTGATAGAATTGGTAGAATTGGTAGAATAATGAAAGAATAACAAATAGGTGGAAGGATTATTATCCGATCCCGGACGCGTCTGGTGTGACTACCATGACTACCATATTTGAATGTTCATTTAATTCACCAATAGTAGGCCAAACTTTATAATTTTTACAGCGTTAGAAAGCGCAAACTGAGCTCTATAATTTACGAAATTATGAAGAAATAGCATCCGTAGGGAGCTGGTTATTTCAAAGTGTAAAACTTCTACATACAAATTTTTGATGAGGGAGGCGCGGGAGGGCTATCGGGCTGACTCAGCCGGTCTAACCAAAAAGCGTATAGGACCCGAATTTATGATTGGCTGCATATACAAATTCAAGGTTTCCAAGCTCAGCCCTACCTTATTCTATTATATATACTAATTATTAAAATTAGAGATTATATCTATTTAATTAATATTCTAATCGCTAATTATATTAATAAGAGTATATATTAATATTTTAAAATTATTAAATTAAATTTATTAGATATTAATATAGAATTAAAATTTAATTTAAACGCTTTAATAATTTAATTAGCTAAACTAGTTATTATCTAAATCTTTTATATATAAAAATTAAACCTTTCGCTACGCTAAGATTATTCTTAAATCTTAAAATCTTTCTTATTAATATAACTCTCTTTTATTTAAATAATATTATAATATCTTTTACTCGAGCGTTAAAATATTAGAGTATCGCGTTCTTCGCTTTTAATTAAGCGATATCGTCTTTAAGTCGATATCTTTAATCTTATAAAAACGATAATTAATTCGTTATAGGCGAAGGAAAAAAAGAAATAATATTTTCTTCTATCTTTATAATAGAAGAAAAGAAGAGAGTAAATAAATTAATTATAAGCTATACGCGACTCGATATCTAAGAATAACGAATTAATAAAGTTATAATATTAAAATAAAGAGCTCTTTTTATAACTAATAAATATAAGATTAAATAGAAATTAATTAGATTAATAAGATTATCTTTAGTAGATATACCGCGTATATAAAGAATATCGGAATATATAAAATATATACGGAATATGAGAGAGGGTGTATATATGCAGCTGTAAATATCTAAAGTATATTTAAAATATAAAAAGAAGCGCTTATATATAACTCTACGATATATATTAGTAAAAAAAAAGTTAATTTCTTTTTTTAGTTAGCTTTCTAATTAATATTTAAACTTAATCTATCTTTAAATAGTATTTTATTTTAATAAGATTTTAGTTATATAATATTAGTTAGCTCGATAACGAATACTTAATATTATTCTTTTCTAATTCACTCTCTTCTTTTTTAAAAATTCTTTTTATTATTATAGTAATTATATTATAATACGCTCGTTTATTATAATACTATCTATATCTAAAGAAAATAAAATTATTTTCTCTATACTCTATAATTAAATTAAATTAATAATATTATTTTTATAAAGTAAATATATATCTAATAGCGCTATATCTCTTAATACGATAATTAATTATAATATTAAATATAATTCGTTAATATATAGTATTATTATTTATTAAAATTATTAACTTAATAATCGCGAAAGCTTAGAAAATTCTTAATAATTTATTAACTACTAATTTAAATTTATTTAAATTATCGAAGTAAAGTAAAGATAAAACTTCGCGAAGGCGAAGATTAGAAGATTATACGCGAAGTTTAAAAAGTATAGCTATAAATAAGAAAAGTACGTAATTATATTAATTATATATATCTAAATTAAATAATAAATTAATTATATATATTAATTATATTATTACTAATTAGACTTTAAAGTCTATATATTAAAGAAAATTCGCGGATAGTAGAGATTAACGAATTTAATTATTTCTTAGATCGCATTTACTTAAGTAATAAAGAAGATCTTAATTTATATAACTCCAAAATCGATTAATTCGCTTCGAATTTAAATCTCTATATTATAAGTACTTTAAGAAGCTATAAAGATAAAATTAGTAAGCGATTTTAATAATATAACTTATTCTTTAGTAATTATAAATAAAGAAAATTACTAATTAATATCTAGCGATTTAATTATATATATTTTATATAAAAAGAATTATTTTATAATTAAAAGATATATAGCTTTTTAGATAATTATAATAAGATATAAATTTATAAATAATAATATAGTATTATTAAAATCTAGACGTAATTTTTACGAAAAGAAAATATATAATAAATAAAAGAAAAACTATTCTAAGTTGAGAATAAGATATTCTAATTATTATTCTACTTATTACGCTTAATTAATAATATTTAACTATTATACTTAATCTAATAACTTTATATATTTTATATTTATAGAATAAAACTTCTTAAATCGATTTAAATATAGATATACGCTTATAAAAATGTTACTACTCCAGTAAAAGAGGCTTCTTATTCTAAAATCTATATTAAATCGAAGGTTATATCCCTACGCTCAATAGCTTTAATTTCTATAGTTACTATTAATATCGTAATTAAATTTATATAGTAATAGCACGCCTTTCTTATTAGCGGGTATCTCTACGTTTAATAACTTTAATTTTTATAATTACTATTAATATCGCGACTAAATTCGTATAATAATAGTATATCTTTTTTATTAATAGATATCTCTATATCCGATAACTTTAGTTTCTATAATTACTACTAATATCGCGATCAAATTCATATAATAATAGTACGCCTTTTTTATTAGTAAGTATCTCTATATTCGATAGCTTTAGTTTCTATAATTACTACTAATATCGCGACTAAATTCGTATAATAATAATACGCCTTTCTTATTAATAAGTATATTAATAATTATAAATAGCTAAAATATAATAGAAAATAGTAGGCGACTCTTAGCAATATCCGATTTTAAATCTATAGCTTCTTTATCTTATCTAAGAGTAAAGATATTTATATCTAGAATTTAAAGTAAGTATATTCTAATATATAGTTATTAAATATCTAGATATAAATCTTCTAGTTAAAAAATTAGTTTTTTTAGAGTTAATTAATATAATTATAATAATAATTAGAAATATAATTATTATATTATATAGCGTTATTTAATAGATTAAATTTAATAGACTTCGCTAGTATAACGCTAGATAGAGTTTAAAATATTAAAGCTATAAGTAGAAATTCTCTCTTTCTTTCTTTCTTAATATCTTAAATATTTTCTCTCACTAATATTTTATATTATAATTATTTTATCTTATTCGCCTTAATCTAACTTAATAATAATATATTATTAACAATTATTAATCTCGATAGCGATTCTATTATATTATTATTATATAGAAATAGCGATATCGATCTATATATTAAGTCGGCTTATTTAAAAGATAATATAGATCTTAATAATCTTCTTAACGATATAAATAATTAGTTAAATAATTACTCGTTTAATCTTTATATTAGAACTTTAAATTAAAAGAAAATCTTAAAGTCTTCTAATTATAAAAAGATAATCGCGAAAAAAATCGAATAGAATAAGCCTTTAATTATTCGCGCTTTTAATATAAAGATTATAAGAAAGAGTATTTCGAGATCTTTATTTATAAAGATTAAAAATCGATATTAAAAGTAAGAAAGTAAGTATAGTAATATAATATTTTATTAAATAATATATATATATAATTAATAATAATTTAGCTATTACTTTACGAAAGATTAAAAGATATTAGAAATTAACTAATTTACTTCTTTTAAAAAGACCTTTCACTTATATAATACGGGAGATTATTAATACGATATTATTATCTTATCGTACTATACGAATTTAAGTTTCTATATTAAATATATTATAAGAAGCTATTAAAGCGACTCTAATATTAAAATTTCATCGTATATTAGCTTTTTATTAAGTTATTATTCTATTAATAAATTATATAATTAATAACCTCTACGCTATTTATAATAAAAGAATTATATTAATAATTAAAGATATAAAGCTTATATAAATAATACGTCGATATATAATAAGAGAAAGTATATAAAAAATGAGAATAAGATAATTAAAAGTGCTTTACTTAGATAGAAGAGGGTTAAGATACTTAATATAAAATAGAATTCTAATTATCTTTCTAATTACCGAAAAATATATAAATTTATTATTCTAATAACGATCTCTTTATATTCCCTTTATTAGCGAGAACTTCTTATTCGAATAAATATATAGCTAATAATTTTAATACGAAATATAAGATCTCGAATTTTTAGATCTTAAAGTATCGTAAATTAAATAATAGTTATAAATAATCTTAGTATAAACTAAATTAGAAGTAAGAATCTAAATATAATTTATATTATTAATAAGGAAATTACTAAGAAAAAGATAGTACTTAGCGTTAATCTATATAAATAAGATATAATTAAACTATAAAACGCGTCTATAGATTAAATAAGAATTCGAATAACTTATAAATATAGATTTTTTCT